TTTCCCCCCCATTTTCCCTCTCCCATCCCTGCCCATAATTTGTGTAGTTCATTTTTAACATAGTGCAAATTGAATACCACGACTGCATTTGTTCACCCTTCCTACCTCCCTCCATTTCAAACAAACACCACCATCACCACTAACAACAACAAAAAACCATGGTTCCTAAGGGTGTGGGTGGCTCACACCTGTAATCCTAGCTACTCAGGAGGCTGAGATTTGAGGATTGTGGTTCAAAGCCAGCCCAGGCAGGAAAATCCATAAGACTCTCGTCTCCAATTAACCGCCAGAAAATCAGAAGTAGTGTTGTGGTTCCAAGTGATAGAGTGCTAGCCTTGAGTGAAAAAGCTAAGGAATAGCACCTAGGCCCTGAGTTCAAGCCCCACTTCTCTCTCTCTCTCTCTCTCACACACACACACACACTACACACATTTCCATTTCCTGGGCTGGGAAGGTGGCTCAGTGGTAGAGTGCTTGCCTTGCATGCATGAGGCCCTGGGTTCGGTTCCTCAGCACCACATAAGCAGAAAAGCCGGAAGTGGCGCTGTGGCTCAAGTGGTAGAGTGCTGGCCTTCAGCTGAAGAGCTGAGATGGTGCCCAGCCCAGAGTTCAGGCCCCAGGACCTGAAAAAAAAAAAATACGTTTCCTAGAATTTGTTTTGGTAAGCAGTATTTTAGATGTTTGAAGGAGTTACACCTTTGGGTTCCTCCCCTAACTGTATCCTCCTTTAGTCAGTTTGTTGTGTGTAAATGCATAGAGCCCTATGTAAGTTCAGTTGTATTTTAGATCTAGCTTCCACATATGAGAGAAAATGTGCCAGTTTTCTCTCTAAGCTTGTCTTACCTCACTTAACATAGTTTGTTCTACTTCCATCCATTTCCCTGTGAATAGGTACCACATTTTTTGTTTGTTTTTTGTTGTTTGTTGTTTTATTTTTTTTCTGGTCATGGGGCCTGAACTCTGGGCCTGGTCACTGTCCCTCAGCTCTTCACCTCCAGGCAAGCACTCTACCACTTGAGCCACAGCTCCACTTCCGGTTTTCTGGTGGTTTACTGGTGATAAGAATCTCACGAGCTTTTTGGTCCAGGCTGGCTTTGAACTGTGATCCTCAGATTTCAGCCTCCCAAGTAGCTAGGATCACAGGCATGAACCACTGACAGCCGGCTTGTTGGCTGTCTTTCGAGTTTAGTAACTATGTCTTTTGCTGTGCAGAAACTTTTCATTTTGATATAATCCCATTTGTCAAGTCTCTCCTGTTTGTTGTGCCCCTTGTAGTTTCAAAAAGTTCCTACCTATGCCTATAAATTCTAATGTTTTTCCTACTCCATCTTGCAGTAATTTCAGTTTCAGGTCTGACATTGAGGCCTTTGACCTACTTTGAGTTGATTTTGGTGCGTGGTAACAAACAGGGATGCAATTTTTTACATGTGGATGTCCAGTTTTCCCAACACTAATTATTGAAGAGATTATTGTTTTTCCACCATACAGTTTGGGGTCTCTTATCAAATATAAGAATAACTGTGCATGGCCTTATTTCTGTGTCTTCTGGTCTGTTCCATTGGGAACTATTTGGGACTGTTTTGTGCCAGTACCAAGCTGTTTTGTTATTATAGTGTTGTAGTAGAATTTGAGGTCTGGAATTGTGATACCATCAGCACTGGTTTTGTTGGTTGGTTGTTGTTGTTTTTCCTAAAATTGCTTTGGCAATTTGGTCTTTTATTGTTCCAAAGGAAGGGATTAAAAAAAATTTGTGGGGCCTGGGCCTAGACACTGTCCTTGAGCTTCTTTTTCTCAACGTTAATGCTCTACTACATCAGCCATAGTGCCACTTTTGTCTTTTTCTGTGCGGTTTATTAGAGATAAAAGTCTCATGGACTTCCTGCAGGTTGGCTTCAGACAGCTAGGATTATAGGCATGAGCCACCAATGCCTGCCTAAAAGAATTTTTAAAGAAAGGAAGCAAGAAAGCTAAATACAAAGAGTATCAGGATACTGGCTAGGAAGGGTGTGAAAGGAAAAATTAGGAGAAAAAAGCTAACATCTGTGTTTCTTTGTTTCTATATAGTCTTTGGCACATTATAGTCCTATATAGATGTGTGTAGGACAGGAATTGAAGGAGACACAGCTTTGCTCACCTAGTAGCTTTATCTAGAGATTGCTTTGCCCCAAAGTTGCAGTCCTAGAGTTTGGTTGGCGTGACCACTACTATGCTACCCAGATTTCCTTCTCTCAGAATTACTCATGTGGAATGGTGTGCCAGAATGTCATTGCTAACAGATGCTAGGTCTGGGGTATAACAAACAATTCTAACTACTAACACATTTTGTGGTAGAGCAAAACAAGAAAGTGTCTATTTATAGTTTTAAGTGTCTCCTTACAGAATCAGATCATTATTGTCAGATATTTGGTAAGGTCCTTGATTAGCTTTCTCTCCTAGTCCTCCTGGCTCTGACCGCCTCACAATTGCCTACTCTAGGGAAGATCTGTGGGACTAGAAAATGAAGAATGTACAATGGATTGTCTTCCCTCCCATTTAGTTTGTTCCACTGTTGGTATTTATGAACTTATTACACAATGGAGCAAGATGATGACTCAACCAACTCAACCTCTGCTCTCCAACTCTCAGATTTGAGTTAAAGGGAAAAGAAAAGCTGGTAGAGTTGAAAAGAATTTGCTGCTAGTGCAACCATTGAGAAAGAACAAATGATACCAGATAGTTCAATTGAGATATTTTTATTATTGATAATAGTTTTTTTCCTAAGGGATGAGAGAAGTATAAATATATTAAGTTACTAAAGTTTCCTTGACACTCTGAATGATAGTGATCAAATGTTGCTGTAAGATCCAGAAAGCTTGAACTTTACCCATCTTAGTTCCTGGTATGGTGTTAAGGAAATAGTAAGTGCTCAGTAAATAGATAGTAAATGGATGAGTGAATAAATATTAAACATTCAAAACTAATTAGCCTCTGAAAATAGTGTAAAACCTTTAACAAGTTAAATCTAAACTATTAGATCTAGTATTAATAAGTAATTTAAGGGTACAGAGGTGCACTCTGGAATTTGTTTTTTATTTTTATTTTTTATTGTTATTATAAAAGCTATGTACAGGTGGATTGCAGTTATGTAAGTGAGGTAAAAAGTACATTTCTTTTTGGACAATGTCACCCCTCTGTCACTCTTTCCCAGTTTTTCCCTCCTTCCCCCACCTACAAGTTGTATAGTTCATTTTCAACATTGTGTCTAGTGAGTACCACTGCTGCATTTGTTTACCCTTTGTCCCTCTATTTCTGTGCTTGCCTTGCCCTCCTAAAGACAGATAAATAAGATAAAAAGGAAAAGAAAACAAAAACAACAAAGAAAACACCTTCTTGTTTTCATTTCATAGAGTTAATTTTGGAATCTATTTTATAATTGACAAAAGAGCATTTGGTCTCAAAGTAAGTCATCTTGAAAAATTTGTCCATGTCCAATCATCATCTGTTGAAAGGCTTCAGCCTGGGCTGTCTACACCTAGTAATCCATTGCTATAGTTTTTACTAACAAAATCCTAATATAATTACTTAGCTGTCTACTTTTTTCTCTTCTAGGATAGATGCAGTCTAAGGCAGATGAAAAGAAATCACACTATAAACTGGGTGCTGAGTCCAAGGTGACTTTTGAAATTTTTTCTTCTAAATTAATAAGAAGGAAGTGATTTGAGGTAACTATCAAACTTAGTTCATTTAAAAATATTCTGGGGCTGGGAATGTGACTTAGTGGTAGAGCGCTTGTCTAGCATGCACAAAACCCTAGATTTGATTTCTCAGCACCACTTAAACAGAAAAAGCTGGAAGTGGTACTGTGGCTCAAGTGGTAGAGCATCAGAGATTGCATTGAGCTAAAGGAAGCTCAGAGACAGTATCCAGGCCCTGATTTCAAGCCCTAGGACTGGCAAAAAAAATTTTTAAATGAAAATATTCTGAAATTGAGCCAACATTAGTCTGGATTTTTTTGTTGGTTTTGTTTTGTTTTATGGTGGTACTGGGGTTTATGGTCTGATGTTTGTCTTATGTTGCTACTGCTGAGCCACATTGCAGCTCTGTTAGCCTCTTTTATTTGCATAACTGCTTCTCATCCACTTAAACGTTATAATTAAGTCTTTTGTAGCTTATTTGGGGATTTTCATCTAGTCTACTTTATGTCACTGCTTAATACTAAATAAAAAGCTGTGAATTTTATATTGAATAAATTAAATATAAAAGTCTTCCTACATGATGTATTTCATATGCTTGTGTGTTGAGTTATAAACATACCAAATGTATATGTGATAATGATAGGATATATTGTATAAAATACCAGTTCAGTTACAGTCATACAAAATTAGAAGTAATCATAACTATTGATGTTTCCAACTCCAAATTACATGTATAAACACGATCATCAAAAGCATCAAATTAAGCCGGGTACCAGTGGCTCACACCTGTAATCCTAGCTATTCACAAGGCTGAGATCAGAGGCTAGAGGCCAGCCCATGAGACTCTTATCTCCAATTAATCACAGAAAATCCAGAAGTGGTGCTGGGCTCAAGTGGTAGAGCAGAGTGGTAGCCATGAGCAAAAGAAGTCTAGGGACAGAGTTCAAGCCCCAGGACCAGCAAAGCATCAAATTAGAGGCTCACTTGTAACTTTCAGTAAACTTAATAAAGTTGGTTAATGATGATACACTAATTGATGATACTTAGAGATAGTGTGAATTATTTTAGATTACTGAATTGTATGGTGTTTTCGTTACAGTAGTGCAGATAAAAAAAGTTGTTAGGGGGAAACAATGTCGGGGGGAAAAGCCTGCCCCTCCAAAGATTTTTCTATATTTCTTTAATACTTCCTACTTATGAATCGCAAAAGAGCATGCTGTTTAGTTATTCTTGTGTAACTGCATGGTAGAGCTCATCTTTTAACAAGAGTTATTTATGAATTCAAAGGAAGAAGCATGTCCTTGCATCAACCAGCACAGTCACGAGATGACTGATGTCCAAGAGCTAGAAAAGTGTACCAGAACGCCTCCAAAAAAGGCTGAGAGTCAGAGACCAGTGAGAGGCAGGAAGTATTTGGAGACTGCTAAATGATAAAGAGCTATGCCAATCAGCTTTCTACATACTAGAGAACAGCTTGACTTAAACCCATATTTTTAGGTCCACTTCTCACCTATATCTCTTCAAGCTTGTGTAGTCCATTTCTCTTGACGACAAGTTGGTACAAGGGAAAAAACCATGAGCTAAACAATTTTGTTTCACTTCTTTGTACTTTGAGAAAACTTTGTGCTTCAGTCTTCAGTTATTTGCCATTCCCACTGCCTTTAAAACACACTCAGATTCTTCATATTCACAAACTGATGAATGTATTGGGGCTTAATGTACATTTTAATTTTCCTCTTTCTACCATATTCAGGCTCCTGAAGAAAATGTAATCTTACTTTTCCTCCATTATTTTGACCTTGATGGATACTAAATTCATGACTCAAAGTAATAAAGACAAGATGTTGGAATTTTAGTCATCAACTCTTTGACAGTAGTGGGGGCTAAACTCATTGGTTTTGTGATTGATTGGCAAGTGTGCTACTATTTAGGCATGAACTCTTGTAATGACTGTCTACTTCATTTGTGTTTGAGTCTTCTGGATTAGTTAACACATCTTCAGCATTCGTAGTCCAGGCACTTTCCAAACTGCTTCTGTGGAGCATCCCATTTATTTAAACAATCTCTGAGTAGATATTAGTATTATCCTTATTTTATAGACTGAGAAAATTGAGCAAGTGGAGATTTGAGAACTTTCCTGAGAACACATAGCTAGGAAGTAATAGAGCCCAGACATTGCCTTAGGATTTGAGTCTGAACCCTGGGCTAGCCTGTGATATTAATGGAAGGACCCAACCAACTGTCTGATTTCAACATATTAATTCTTTCCAGGGGGACTTTGCGTCTGAATATGGGTCTCCCATGTAAGGCCATTGAGATAGATAAAATAGTGAATCTCCCTCTTAATTTGCCTATGTCTTGATACCCAGAATCTATGAATATGTTTTCTTATATGATTTGTTGGTCAGCTTTCTGTTACTATAACAAATACCAGAGATAAATCAACTTAAAGAGAGAATTTTTGTTTGACGCACAGTTTCAGAGGCATCAGTCCATGACCACTGCTTTTGGACTTGTGGCGAGGCAGCACATTCTGCAGGGAAGCACATAGTAGAACACAGCTGCTTGCCTCATGGCATCTAGAATACAAGAGAGAAGAGACTGAGTTCCCATAATACCTTCCAAGAACATACCCCTGGGCTGGAATGTGGCTTAGTGGTAGAGTGCTTGCCTAGCATGCATGAAGCCCTGGGTTTGATTCCTCAGTACCACATACACAGAAAAGGCCTGAAGTGGCTCTGTGCCTCAAGTGGTAGAGTGCTAGTCTTGAGCAAAAGAAGCTTAGAGATAGTGCCCAGGCCCTGAGTTCAGTCCCCACGACTCGAAAAAAAAAAAAAAAAAGAAAGAAAGAAAGAAAAAGAACATACCCCCCAATGACTTAAAACCTCCAACTAGACCCCCACTTATTAAATTTTTTACCACCCCATATAGAACTAAGATGGGGACCAAGACTTCCACACATGGGTTTTGTGGGACATTACAGATTTAAACTATAGCATATGACAAAAGGGACTTTACAGATGCAATTATGATCACAGGCATTCAGATAGGGGAATTATCTTGGGTTAGATGAGTGGTACAAATCTAATTACACAAATCCTTAAAGTGGAAGTGGGTGGATCAGAGAGATGAGACCGAAGAAAAAGGAAAATATTTGAAGTAGGAAAGGGGTTCAGCTCACAGCTACTGCTGTGAAAGTGAGGAAGGAAATGGGTGTTTCAGTGTTGAAACCACAAGGAACTGAATTCTGTTAACTACCCACATAAAGAAGGAGGTCTTTCCCTCAATCTCCAGAAACTACCAAAGCCCCATGGACAACATGTTGATTTTAGCCCAGTAAGATTTGTGTTGGACTTTTTTTTTTTTTTTTGTCAGTTATGGGGCCTGAACTCTGGGCCTGGGCGCTGTCCCTCAGCTCTTCAGCTCAAGGTGAGCACTCTACCGCTTGAGTCACAGCACCACTTCCAGCTTTTTCTGTATATGTGCTGCTGAGGAATGAAACCCAGGACCTCTTTGCATGCAAGGCAAGCACTATACCACTGAGCCACCTTCCCAGCCTCTTGTGTTGGGCTTCTGAAATATAATGGTGTTGATTTAGCCCACCAAGTTTGTGGCAATTTGGTTCAGGTGCAATAGAAAATACATACAAATACATACAACCTGTCTCTTCATTCAAGTTAATTAGGTTTCTCTGGTTCTTAGTCATGAAAAAAGCACACCAAATTGTCCAATGCCTTCTCATTCGCCTTTACATAAAAAGTAAAACAAACCCTGATTATGTTCAGTGGTTGGATCCATACCTCAGGACATACCTCATACCCATGAACACAGTGCCACCCCAGCATGCAATCCAAACCTCAGGGGTTATCAGAACTGGATGAACTGGTTGTGAACATAGAGAAGCAATCTATGATGACTGATTTGTACTGTTTGTCCCATTGCAGGTGCCATTAGAAATAAAAGGGGAAGTGAAGGATACTTTTATGCCTGGTTAAAATCTCTAGATTTATGAGCTAGTGCAATGACACATAGCATTTCAGAAGAAAAATGCCTTTGCTAAATTAAAGGACATTACCAAAATTATTCTAAATTATGAGTAGTGGTTTTCTAAAATTAAACTTCCTTGATAAATGGAGAAAATTAATGTGAGTTTTCTATATTTTCGGTAGAAAAATGTTTTCTTCTTTCTTTTTTGGGGGGGGGTCCAGTTGTGGGGCCTGAACTCTGGGCCTGGGTGCTGTCCCTCAGCTCTTCAGCTCAAGGCTAGCGCTCTACCACTTGAGCCACAGCGCCACTTCT